ATAATATATATATATATATATATATATTATATATATATATATATATATATATATATATATATAGGTAATAAAATAAACTATATATGTTTCACTACTTTGTTGCTTACTTCTTTTGAACAACATTTGTTTATATTTGTCATATATATCTTTTTATAAATATGAAAATATAAAAAACATTGTCTTTGATGTGAAGAAGTTTTTTATGAAATTTTCTATGAAGAAGTATGAGTATTCTATGAAAAAGTATATCATAATACAGTAAAAATCTATTAAAATGAATGAGTTATTTCTTACCTGTTTGGTCATGTAATATAGTAAATAATAAACATATTGCTAAAGTTACGCATCTTCAATAAGATAAAAGTGCGAAAACAATGTTATTTACCTGATAGTAATCCAAAAATATCTTTTTACAACAATGTTGTACTCCACGTTTTTTTATAAAAAAAATAAACACATATAAAATTATTATTATATGACTAATATGACAGCTGCAACCAAAAGTATTGTATCGAAACAAAAATAAAACTCCCTTTCGTTACTTTCGCTCTTTACTTTTTCATATTTCCAGAAAAGAAATTTAATACTCATTGTTTTAACAACTGTACTTCAGAAAATAACAGAAAATATTGTTAAGTATTAAAATTGTGTAGATTCAATAAAATATGAACATAAACGCGAATTTCGTTGATCGATCCACATTATGGATAAAGGCTAACATTTGTGGCACAGTGCAACGTTTCTATTTGACTGCCATAATGTCATGGAATGACGATATATCGTACGCTATGACCCTCGTGAGACACTTAACCATACCTATAGGTGGTTGGCCCTTGCAAAAATACAATAAGTTCACTTTGGTGCGTCATGTCTTGTCTAGTTTTGGATTGGTATGTTTCAATTTTCATGTCGCAAATTCTCGTAAAACCAAGTTTCTCTTTTATTTTTTATTCTCTTTTATTTTTTTTGCGTTCGATGAAGTTTTGAACAAATTGTCAATGTAAATTTCTTAAGAACGATAGGATGTTTCAAAGTATTGGCACAAAAAAAAACAAAGAGCGAATAAAGCAATTTCGTGATAAACAAGTCTATTCTTACTTTCTGTGTAGAGCGTGGTGGTAATCGTACAGTATCTCGAACTTTATTATAACTGCACCAGCGCATATGCGAATCTTGATGCTCTTACGCTTCTTGCATGCGGTATTTTGGCTTTAACAAAAATAACATGGTTTCGTATATATGCCGATAACTTAACTTGTAATTATTCTTCTGCCATAAATGATTATCGTGCGATCGACACCGAGAAGAAGCGCATCATCATGCGAGAACACGCTTTTTGGGGAAGAGTAATCTGCATTATCGCCTTGTTAATTTCTTACGTCGATTCAGTAATTTTCATCGTGGGACACGCACAATTAAGCAGTGAGGAGGCTAAAGTTAATATGACTATTTTCGGTCATCAAGCGGGATACGCTATACCATCGACATGTACTTTAGCGCATTTTCATATTTCGACGAGCTTGTATTTGGTGATATTTGCGCTGGAATATATCTATCTAGTAATTATGTGCATTAGCAATCATGGTAAGCCATAAATATTATTGTTAGTGTGGTTAATATTTGACTTATATATGAATTATTTTTAACGCGTTTTAAAATATTTACTACTATTTTTGATCTTTATAATTAAATTTTTGATCTTTATAATTAAATTGAAAAATTCATACAATTTAAATACAAATTTTTTTAATTGTCTAATGCATGCAAAGTAAATATCTACATTCATTTTATTGAAATATTTAATTATGCTAATACTAGATTTAGCTTTCATTAATATTCCTAATTCTATTTATTTTATGTATAAATATTTTTTATAGTATATATAATTAATAATTAGACATTTTGCAAGCTTCTATATTCTAATTATAATATTTAAAGGCAGCGATTCTGTATTTCTTCATATTGCACTGCATGTATGTGGTCAATTAAAAATTCTAAAGGCAAATTTTATCAACTTTGATGTTACGAGCCCTGAAGTTCACGAACGTTTCAACACATTGATTTTGAGACATGATCATTTGATAAGAATGACAAGAAAACTTGCTGAAATAATTAGCTTTGTTTTGATGGTACAACTCTTTGTCAGTAGTATGCTTATCTGTATAGTAGGTAATTATTAATTATCCTATCATCAATTTTCGGCATATATGTACATTAACAAATAAAAAGTATAGAATTTATTATAAGATGCTGGAATTTATTAATTATATATTTGTAGGATTTCAATTTATTATTGCCTTGACAACTAGCGATTATGGTATGATGTCAAAAAGTTTTTTGGTACTTAGCGCTTTTCTAATACAGCTAACGCTATATAGCGTCGTCGGAGATTATTTAAAGTCACAAATGGAAGAAGTCGCGATGTCCGTTTATCAGAGTGCTTGGTACGACTTTCCTGCAAAAGTGACAAGAAATATAGCATTTATAATGATGTGGGCTCAGCTACCAATTAAGTTACAAGCTGGGAATTTCATTGTAATGGATCTAGGAACTTATGTGAGCATCTTAAAAACTTCGGCTTCTTATTTGTCTGTTCTACGCGTGATGGTGGAAACGTAAGGCATCTGACGCACATAATAAATAAACAAATGTTCTCTACATACAAACATTTAGAAAAATAATAATATAGAGTAGAATAATAGAGTAGAATTTTAATAAAATTGTTAATTATACTTACATACATTTATTTATCCATGTTAAATCAAGAATATCATCAACAGTCAAACATGAAATATAATTAAACAATTTGTTAATATTGATATTGATATTATTCATATTATCTAAGAAACTGCTTCAATACATTTTAAAAATTAATAATCGTACATATTTTTCATAAAAGAATATCAAAATAAAAGATATTAGAGTGTGCGATCAGTGATGGACGATAACATTGAAAGAAAAATAAAATACTCCTTTTCTCTCCATTAGAACTTTGCCCTTTATTGCTATACGAAAAATTGTTCCCTTCAATTCTCTTTTAAATAACTGTGTTTTGGAAAATAAGACGGTACTATAGTAAATGCTAAAATTGTGCAATTTCAATAAAATATGAAAGTGAACATCGCCAATGATCGATAAGTATTATAGGGCGACATTAGTAAGTATCGTGCAACGTGTAGTTCTACTTGACCACAATAATGTCATGGAATGACGATATAGCATATGCTATGAACCCCCACAAATTCCTAACTCTGCCATTAGGCAATTGGCCCTTGCAAAAATATAATCTATTTGCTTTAATCCGTTCTATTGTGTGTGGTTCCAGTTTGGTATGTTTTCAATTTTTATTTTACATATACCAATAAAACATTTTGCTTGTATCTTCAACATATAGTCAAATGATACGTAGTGAATGAACATAGTGAAAACAAAAAACGAAAAAAGGAATAAAGTTTTAAAAATATCCATCCTTCCTGTCTGTGTAGACTGTGATGATGGTCGTGTTGTTCCTCGAAATCGTTTTCGGTAAAGCCGATATGTATTTAAAACTCGATGCTCTTATGGTTATGTTTTGCAACGTTCTTTCTGTACTAAAATTATTGTCGTTCCGCATATACGCCAAAAACTTGATTCGCAATTTTTCTTCTGCTGTGAACGATTATCTCGCAATCGATACCGAGGAGAAACGTATAATCATGCGGCGACACGCTTACATAGGAAGGATAGTTTGCTACAGTATCTTATTTTTTGCTTATTTCGCTTCATGTATTTTCGTTGTGGTACCTCTGATATTAGGTGACAACAACGTCCAAGTTAATAAATCCAACATAAATCCAGCATCGGAATTACCAATGCCCTTAACATGGACATTGCAGAATTATAAGATTTCTGCGACTTTATATTTGACAATATCCTTGGTGCAGCATGTTTTATTAATGCTCAATAGTACTTGTAATTGCGGTAAGTGATCTAATCATTAATATCAAAAAGTTACGCACCAATTATAACACATTAATTTACTTTTAATTAATTCACTTTAAACATTTTGATTTTAATAAAATTTATTATTAATTTATTATTTCCTAATTTTTATATCTTTGTTTTCAGCAGTAATTTATTACTTATTAACATATAAAAACATAATATCTAATTAATTAAAACATGTACTTTTATCTGAATCAGTTTTTATCCATTTTTAATAGATGTCTTTATTTTGATGCATGCTGTCTTATGATTGTAATACAATATTATTTTATTTCTTCTTTCAGATTATATATTATTCTTTATAGTACACGTTAAATAATTTATTATTATTAAAATACTTAATATAAATGCAATTTAATATTATGCAAAGTTAAAATTTATTTATAAAGGTAACGATTCACTTTTTCTTGCAATCGTTCTTCATCTTTGTGGTCAACTGGAACTCTTGAAAATTGATTTTACCAAATATGATGTGGAAAGCAAAGATTTAAGCAAAGACTTTTCAAAATTGGCGACTAGACATCGTTACCTAATAGAACTTGCGGAACTTCTGATAGATGTAATAAGTTTCGTTTTGCTCGTGCAAATGCTATTCAGTTGTCTCATTATATGTTTGATCGGTAATTTCTCAAAATCCTCAAGACATTTCCCAATATTATTTATAATATTTTGATAATGCAATCGTTGGATAAATATTTCATTTTTATATCTAAATTAATCATTGATTTGTGCATGCAATAATTACGGTATGTGTTTTCAACTTATTATAGGTTTCCAACTTATTATAGCATTGAAGTCGCATGACGCAACATTGATAATTAAAACCACAACAGTACTGAGCGCCCTGCTATTACAATTGTTCTTTTATAGTTATACGGGTGATTATTTGAAATGTCAAATGGAAGACATTGCACAATCGATTTATAGCTGCAATTGGTATTGCTTGCCAGCGAATATGATAAAGAACGTTCGATTCATTATCATGCGAGCACAACAACCTACTACTCTGTTAGCCGGCAAATTTTTTATCGTAAATATCGAAACATATATGACTATATTAAAAAGTTCACTCTCATATTTATCTGTTCTACGAGTAATGGTGGACGCATAAAATAAAGGTAAACATTGAAAGCAAAACTCAGAAAAATTAACACTGTATATATACGTAAACAATATTACTTTGTATGTAAAAGAATCATTTTTATTATATGACGTTGGATATCTCTTGAAATGTATGAGCAAAGTAAAATAAATAAAATTGCATTAGAAGAATTAGTGATAAAAACGTAAAGGATATCTAATTTAACAATTTGTTTGCAATTTAAAAATAATATAAATATATTAAATCTTTTTGTTTTATTAGTATATCATTGAGAGCATGCAAGCCACTTATTCTCTAACATTTTCTCCTATTTTTATTTTTTTTATTCTTTTTCGTTAATTCATAAATCAATAATCGAGTATTATTTATCAAATATTATTTATCTTTTTAAATAAAGATTATAATAAAAGTTTTACATTCTGCAAAACTTATTTAAAACAACATTACTTATTTAAAACAATATATTCTGTAAAATTTATTTAAAACAATATACTTATATAAAACAATATATAATGTATTCAAAAAGAAAAGAGAAGTTTCGATCGATGAAATAAATGCTATAATGCTTAAATGTTTGTAATTATTATATTAAAATTATACTGATAATTTTTTCGATACACATCACTATCAAAATATGTGATTTTTATCATCGTTATTGTCGATGGAGCTAGCTTGTGAAGCAAACGCAACAAGCAAAACTAACAGCATCACGGAAAAGAGGCTTTAATATTTCGATATATTTGAAATTTTGATGAGGTTTTTTTTTAGAAGAAGATACATTAAATATATTATTTATAAAATTTAAATAATATCTAATTATAACACTTAATCAAATTTTGTGCTTCCAGTCGACATAAAGTGGCATCGTTTTACTGAATATCGTAATCGAATGACAAATATTGTACTTAAAGGAAGATATTAAAGATAATAAAATTATTGATAAAAATTAAAGGAGATTTTAATCAGGTTGAGAGCTTTCTATATCATAGAGAAATTTTACAAGAAATTCTACAAGAAATTTTCAAAAGTCTTATGAAAAGAGATGACGCATAGATTTAGGCTTAGAACGGCCGATTAGTAATTACCGAATAGCGAATTCAATTCACTCCATGTTTACGAAATCTAAAACGCATATTTTAAGGTTGAAATGTTATGAAATTTAAAAAATTTCTGGATTTAGAGCACAAGATTCAGATTAAGAATTGATAAAAAAAATAATATATATAGAAGAAGCAATCTAAAAAAATAGTAACACATATAAAATAGCATTTTAATAAAATTGCTAATTCATAATACATTTTTCATGTCAAATAAAAAATATCGTGCAACAATTATTGATAGTATTATTTGTAGTATTATTTATTATATTATCCAAGAGAAAAACTGTTACATCAAGTTCTAAATTAATTGTACATACGTATTTTTCATGAAAATAAAAAATATTACAACGATCAGTGATAGAGAATAACTAAGGATAGATAGGATGCACCGAAAAAGAAAATAAAATATTCTTTCTTCCCATCCGATTTTCGTTCTTTATCTTACTTCTATAAAAAAATTGTTTCCTTTAGTTTTTTTTCAAATAATTACGTTTTGAAATAAGAAAATAGCATAGTAAATGTTAAAATTGTGCAATTTCAATAAAATATGAAGGTGAACAATGATCGATTCGAATTATGGACAAAGACCGACATTAGTAAGACTCGTGCAACGTGCAGCTCTACTTGACTGCAATAATGTCACGAAATAAGGATATAGACTATGCTATGGACCCCCACAAATTCATCATTTTGCCATTAGGCGTTTGGCCCTTGCAAAAATATAATACGTTTGCTTTAATCCGTTGTATCGTGTGTGGCGTCAGTTTGGTACGTGTACTTACAATTTTCATTTTATATGTACCAATAAAATTTTTCTTCTCTTGTATCTTCAACATATAATCAAATGAGATGCTTAATGCAATGTAAACACAAACATGCAATGAAACAAGAAACAGAAATAAAGTCCATCAATCAGAGATAAATAATTCCTTCTTCTTGTCTATGTAGACTGTGATGATGTCCGTCTTGTTCTTCGAAATCGTTTACGGTGACGCCAGCACATATGATAAACTCGATGCTCTTATGGTTATGTTCTGCAACCTTCTGTCTATACTAAAGTTACTGTCATTCCGCATATACGCCAAAAACTTGATTCGCAATTTTTCTTCTGCTGTGGACGATTATCACGCAATTGATACTGAAGAGAAGCGTATAATCATGCGGCGACATGCTTACATGGGGAGGATGGTTTGCTTCAGTATCATGTCTTTCTCTTATTTCGTTCCGTTAATTTTTGTTTGGATACCTTTGTTATTAGATAAAAATAATGATAATAATATCAAAGTCCAAGTTAATGTATCCAAAAATCCAGCATCGGAATTACCAATACCCTTAACATGGACCTTAGGGAATTATGAAATTTCTCCGGCATTATACTTGGTGATATCCTTCACGATATATGTTTTATTAATGCTTACTTGTAATAGTAATTGCGGTAATAAACTAATTATAATATCAAATAATCTTGCAAATAGTCTCTCACAAGCTAGAATATATTAATTTATTTTAAACATTTTATTTTTAATAAAATTTATTAACAATTTTGCTATTGCAATTTTTTTTTATCTTTGCTTTCATCATTAATTGATTAACTATTAATATACAAGCTAAGTTAATATCTATAATTAAGTAAAATATATTTTTTTATCAGCACTAAATGTTGAATCTTTATGCATTTTTAATAGATGTTTTTATTTTAATATGTGCAGTAATTATACAATGACAATATGACTTCACTTTGTTTTTTCAAATCATATCTTACTTTTACAATATTAATTGATATATTATTATTATTATTCTTAAAACATTTAAAAGCAAACTATTTTAAAACAAAGTTAAAATTTATAAAGGTAGTGATGCATTTTACGTTGCAATCGTTCTTCATGTTTGTGGACAAATGGAACTCTTAAAAATTGATTTTACTAATTATGGCATGGAAAGCAACGATTTAAGCAAAGACTTTCTAAAATTAGCGACTAGACATCGTTATCTAATGGAACTTGCGGAACTTCTGGTAGATGTAATAAGTTTTGTTTTGCTCATACAATTGCTGTGCAGTTGTCTCATTATATGTTTGATGGGTAAATATTTCTTAAAATCCGCAGAACATTTCCTAATATTATTCCATAGTAATAAAATCATTGAATAAATAATTTTTACTGAAGAGACCATTGACTCGCGTATGGAATAATTATTGTATATTTTCTAGGTTTTTCACTTATTATAGCAATGAAAACGAATGACGTAGCGATGATATCTAAAACCATATCAGTTCTGAGCGCTCTGTTATTACAATTGTTCTTTTATAGTTTTGCGGGCGATTATCTCAAGAGTCAAATGGAAGATATCGCAAATTCGATTTATACTTGCAATTGGTACTACTTGCCAGCGAATATGATGAAGAACCTTCTATTCGTTATCATGCGGGCACAACAACCTGTCATGTTGTTAGCTGGCAAATTTTTCCTCGTAAACATCGAGACTTTTATGGTCATATTAAAAAGTTCGCTCTCGTATTTATCCGTTTTACGAGTGATGGTGGACGCGTAAATATCGATGAGAGAAAAAT